GTATTCTCCTGATCTACACAGCTGCCTTCACCAGCAACACTCTTCTGATTGTCCTCATTTGGTTGGACTCTCGGCTCCATACCCCTATGTACTCCCTGCTCAGTCAGCTTTCCTTGATGGATCTGACGTTGACCTCTAGCATTATCCCCAAGATGGCGGTCAGTTTCTTCTCTGGATGGCAGAGCATCTCATTCCTGGCTTGTGGGACTCAAATATTCTTTTCCCTGACTGTGGCCCTTGCGGAATGCATCCTCATAACTTTCATGTGCTTTGATCGGTATGTGGCCATCTGTAACCCCCTGCGGTACCCGGTCGTCATCAGTCCTGGGGTTTGCTTGCCGATGACTGCCGTGTCTTGGGCTGGAGGTGCGCTTACTTCCTTTGGCCACACTGCGTTCACCTTACGTTTTCACATCTGCAGCCCCAGGGAGATTCCTCACTTCTTCTGCGAAGGCGTGGCTGTCCTTAGGATTGTCTGCGAGGACATCTTAGCCTATGAGAAGGCAGTAGTGGTGACGAGCATCCTGGTTCTGCTGTCGCCCTTATCTCTCATCGTGTCCTCCTATGTTCTCATCTTCCTGGCTGTACTCAGAATGAACTCCCCAGAAGGCAGGAACAAGGCCCTGGCCACTTGCTCCTCTCATCTCTGTGTGGTGGGTCTCTATTTTGGTCCAGGTATGTTCATCTACATGAGACCTGGCTCTGCCAAGACTCCAAAATTGAATCAGGGTCTCTTTCTGTTTGGAACTGTCCTTACCCCTCTCCTGAACCCTCTCGCCTACAGTCTCAGAAACAAAGAAGTTCTAAGTGCACTGAAAAAGTTGATGGGGGAGTGTCAGCCCTCCAGGTAGAGGGCAGAATTTTCACTATCAGTTGTAGATAATTTAAAAATGCACCAGCAAAGGAAAAATTTTCAGTTAAAAAAATAACCCCAACAGGATCCTGGAAAAGTCAACCAATCTTAACTGAGTTGCTTTTTTCCCTTTTTGACTGCAGGGGAAAAAATATTTAACCTCCTTTCCTGTCTCCATCTTGAAATTTCTGTCTAATTGTCCCAGATGATATGCTGATGAAGGACAAGGGACTATGTCCATCAGTCCTCAACACCATTCCTACTTGACAGTCATGTGCACCGTAGTATTTGCCAAGTTTCATGTTGGTTCCATGAGAAAGAGTTCAATGTCTGCACCCATGGAATGTAGACCACCACCAAGCACACAGCTGGTGCCTCAGAAGTATCCACTGGTTAAATTCATGAGCATGTTGATAGATTGTTGAGAATC